ATGGTTCGGAAAAAGAATAAAAAAAAAAAAAAGCCCTGGAAAAAAAGGAAAAACTTTAAGACCAGGAGTGGAGAAACTGTGAGCCATTAATCTTGGCAGCCAACAACTGATGTAAACCCATAAATTACTTTCCTCTTTCCCCTTTCACTCTATCACTACCCTGCTCTTTTTAAAGTTACCCCCTCTCTTTATCTCCACCCTCGATAGCGAGATTGAATGCGCGTGGATAAAAGCGTGTATATATATACACACAACGGATATATATATATTTATCCGAATATATACAGATATATATATGTATTATACATAGAATATAAATATATACACACCCAGAGCATATTTAAATGTGAATTTTGTTCGCTTAACGAAACGAATATACATCCCGAGTGGGTATTCAAAACGGTAGTTGGAAAAATAAATTGATAACTTAAAAATATAATTCGATTACGCGTTGAGGCGGAAAAAATTCAAAACCCAAACTGAAATATTAATTATTCCACTGTGCATTACCACACAAAATGTAATTTTCTATCATCAACATCATCATACTGGGTGCACAAAAATGCATAGAAACACAAGACGGCGGTTATGAAACGCAGAAAACTGTAAGACTTTAACCGTAAAGTGTACCATGAACCTACACTTGTCTGTGTATACGCGTATATACGCGCACATTAGTATGCGCAAACACGCTTTTAACCAATTAGCAATGATGTCGGAAATTATCTGTTTTTGATCACAACTCCACCGCTGGTCACACGTATTACATCGACAAACCGTAATTTATCATTAGATCAAATTTGCATAACACGGCTGGTTAGTTATAATATTAAGCATCGGAACCAACATTGATGTAACCCGTAATATTTTACGACACATAAAAAAAACTGAATTACCAATCACCACACACGTATATTATATACACTGCACACACGTAATGAATTAATATGAAATATATTATGGATGTGTTTAATGATGATGATAATAATAATAAATTATTGTTATTATTTATTATTATTATTATTATTATGGTACCTATCCTTAATATTATTATATCATCGTTAACATAATTATATATGGTAAATAGTATACGCGTGCATAATATATTTATTTTTTTATTATTGTTTGAAAGAAGAAATCGATAGAAAGCAGTAAGTACGAATTTTATGAAATTAGTCATCATTATACACGAATTATGATTATTTTATTCGTTTATTTATTTTATGTTGTTGGGTAAATCTTCGCTCATAAAAGATAATACGTCCCCCAGCAGAACATGCTCATTGCTCGTAAAAGAGTAGGTGTATAAATGGGATATGCAAATAAAATATAATAAATTCCATGAAAAGTGGTTAAAAACCCGATTGAAAATAAAATATAAACAGAGAAACTTAACAAATGTTTGTAGAATTTATAAAAATGAATATTTCAATAACGAATTAATGTTTAATGCGTATGCGTAACTAAAAAACCACGCGAAAAGTTTTTCAATCGTCACATTATATTCCTACAACATAATATTTAAATACACATACAAGCTTATTATACATAATAATATATCGTATGCCTCTAATGTGTAATGTCAATAACAAACGAAACGTACGGTTTCAATAGATTTAATTGCCACTAAAGGACCACCTACCATTAATAAATAATGTTTACATATTATACCGTCTCGCATCTCGCTCGGGGCCGGCTAACGCAGTTGATACGGAGAGACGTGAATTGGAGTAATGACAATAATATCCGTCTGGGGGGTCCAATTTCATTTAATTTATAAAAATGAAAGACGCTAACAATGGTTGATGGACATATGCACTTGAACACGCGTTAAAACAATGCAGCGATGATACAACACTACGAATGCATCACGATTGACGGGTATTTAATTGTCGTAATTAAACGGTCGTATAGGTACGTAATATTGGGATGCACCTTCAAACACATATAATATAATAGCCGGCACTCGCCGAAGACGCAACTCCCGCAGGAACGATAAAAAATTGCATTTGTTGAACGTCACAAATCGTTTATCGTACTTATTAGATATTATTTATCATATTATAATGTTGTACGCGTTGCACGAATTCCGTAATGGAACCATTGCGGGTTTGTATATTCGTATATAATATAAACGCATCGAACAAATTATGTACTGTGTAGCAACGAAACATGAAACGATAATAAATAACGAACTCGGTACCTGTATAGTATAATAATATTATGTAGGTACGGACAAACAATAATGGCAACAACGGTTTTAAAAAACCGTATGAAAAAAAGGTTCTTATCTCGCCGGAGAGGCAAGAAACACGAAGAAGAAGCCGAAGAAGAAGAAGTATTAGTAGAAAAAAAATCCAGAATAATATCGAATTTTATTTTGTTATAACTGTCGATCTTCAATATAGACCACTTAACTCTGTCGGTTATTCAATCAGTCTCCGATACTTCAGACACTGCAGTTTGCCGCGCAGCGTGGAAGGAGGAGAACTCATTAGACAAGTCCAGACGATTCTATTAACCGCGTTCATTCATGTCGTTCCCATCAAAATATATGTTGTCGACGTGTTTTTCGACATGTCCACCATATATATATACACACACACACACACACACACACACACACACACCAGCCGACGTTAATACCGAATATGTAATTCATATTATTTTACACGCTGCGCGCGCGTTTGTCGACGATCGCGACATGAAGCGGTTTCACTAGACATAAAAGCGACTAGACTACACACAAAAGTAATGGCGGTAAATCATATATACGAATAATAACTACATATGTGTATGTATATATAAATATATATTTCCGAGTGAGGTGGAATGGTGGTGGTGTTAGAAAGAGAGAAACATGGTGAGTGAGAGAGTGAGAGAGGTTAGTTGGTTGCCGGGACAACGAGGAATTTTAATTATTACGATCAGGCTTAAGGGGGCAAGCGTCGCTGGTGCGACCCATACCCACAGTGTTACCAACGGCAACGGGGAATGGTGCCGACCGGTACGGGAAAAAAGGGGTGGGTATATATATATATGACGAGAGAAGGATAAAAATATAACTAATTCCAAATGTCCATTTGAACCCCACAACCACATCCTCGCTTGCTAGCTATCTTTCTCTCTCTTTTTTCTCTCTATCTCTCTATATCCCGTTCTTCCACTATATATATATATATATATATTTATATAAATATATAAACGTGTATATGTAATATCCACGCATAAATTAAGTGAAGTTTTTATATTGTGTATATAGAGCGAAAAGAAAACGCAGTCGAGTATCAAAATTGCAAAAAAATAAATGTATCAAATAATAAAATGTTTCTTTTTGGTCTCGTATACTAAATTGCAATTCAAATATAATAATAAAAAAACAACGAATTCAACACAGCAACGGTCTAATAAAATATGGTTATCCATTACGCGTGAACTCGATAAAATTACATTTACATATTTACTGAAATTACATCGGTTGTTTTAACAAAAGTAATATATTAAAATTAATTCAATTTGTTTTGTTTATGGGAGAGAAATAGAGACGTTTAAAGTAAAGTAAGTTTATTTTATATAGAAAAATATCACGTAAAGTCAGATATAAGTTTAACTAGTTTAAGGCGAGAAATATTAAATGTAAATATGATTAAAAAAAAACCACAAACCTACGAGCGTAGGCGCCTATTCCGTTCATTTAAATATATGAATTAATCTTGAACGACAAAAAGTTTTGTACTAAAATAAGAATAAGTACGCCTAATATTATTGTTACGTAATTGCAACAGAAATCTCGGTTTTTAGTTCGCGTTTACTCCCTTCCGCTCTCTTGTTGATCTCACTCCATCGCTAATAATTATCATTTACCAACCGAAATGGAAGGAATGTAAAAAAGCATAAAGGTTTAATAATTTCCCTTGAGTTGGTATAAAATGAATTTTAATACCCAGAGAAAAGCTCGGCAGAGTTTTCGCTCCACCCCTCAGGACAAGATGAAGGACGTGAATACATTCCAAGCACCTGGTACTCCACGAAAGCGCCATAGCGGCGACGGCGGTGGTGGTAGGAACGGCTAATTGTTATGCAAAATTTAATTTCAAACGAAAATTTACCTTTTGCACAAGAGGGCCCTTTAATTACCCCTTTTTACGACAAGTATACTGAACGCGGCTGGTGCACGAAGGAGGGTGGGTACGTCACTGCCACCAGTTATACACAACTCGGGCGTTTTTAATTAGGTCTTGGTACCGACTGTGAAATGTTTCACTGGAGGAAACTTTTCTGCGACAAACATCCGTATCCAAATGGATAAATTACACTGCTAGTTTATTCTCCCTTGGCGAACAAAATTAAATTTCAGAAATTCTCTCGCGTGCCATAATAAAACAAAGAATTCCAAACAATGACAATTCTACTGGAAGAACACGTGTCCCATGGAAGTTAATACTGGAATTTTAACAACACAGTAAATGCTCCTTGCGTTTAAAATCAGCATTTTGTAATCCAACGACGGTTTCCAACGTACATAAATTCAAATCGGACGCAAAACAATAGGCATGATACTGTTACATATATTTATGCTCCATGTAATATCTATAATATATAATATGCTCTTAAGCATTAGTTTGCACATTTGCCAATTAAACGTTATGAACTGACATAATTTCGAAAACGTGCGTTGAAAATAATTACTATTTTATAGGTAGCGCGTTATAATACAGTTTATTCGTTTCTTTATATACGCCATAAATCACCGTGCATGCAAACACAACCAAACCCGTGGAAAATATTTACTTATAAGTTATAAGTACGATGCAGCTATAATTTAGAGCCTGGGCATTAAAATCCATGTATTAAATAATAATTATTATGAAAAGTAAACAATAAACAACCAAGCTTTTTTAGTAAGTCGTGTATTATGTTTAATAATTGACTCGAAACATATTCGAGGAAATCATGGGATTTTATTATAAGTTTAACGATTGAAATATATATTGGCTTACCGTTAGATGCTGAAATAACCACGCTCGGAGTATATTTGTGGCCACTTTTGGGAATATACCTCTTTTCTTTTGGTTCTTTTTGCCACCGCTGGGATCATCGTCATCCTCTCCCGTACCATCGCCACTGCCGACACTGGCATTACTCGCATCACCTATGTATAAAACAAAACATAACATAACGATTCATTTTATTTTAATTACTATTGTACGTAAGTGATCAACGTCAAAAATGCAATTTTTTATCCTACCTACTGGATTTGCCCTTTAATTTTTTAATAGCAAATAATATTTATCAACATCGTAGAAAATACATACTTAAAATGCGTATATTTAAAAAAATAATCGATTATAAAATACCAAAAGTACAATACTTTTTGACTTTTTTTTTAATTAAGAAAAAAAATGAAAAGAGCCTACGGTTATAAATTCGTCTGTCTGCGCGTGCAATTGGTAATTTTACGGAAGTTAGGGGTCGTAGAGCTTGTAGCCGCCGCCGTTCACCCACGCCGGCGGCACTGGTGGTGGGTAAATGTGCACCGTCGCTATCAGATTCACTACAGAAGGTGATCAATCACTGCTACCCACCCCTTCATCAATCCCTCTGCATTTCTCCTTCTACTCACTTTGCCAGCCAGAATACACACGCACACCAACACATAGTATAAATATATACAATATACATATATACGTATACTTATACACATACCCACACACACGCGCACAATCAAAACAATATCTCTGCCCATACTCTGCTCTCCCTTATAGTATATATATACCTTTTACCGTTCCACACACGTCGTGGTGACGGCGGATAACACTATATACACGACCGATAAGGGACCTCCACCGCCCCCACCACCACGTGTATACGTAGCTGGATGCTGCAGAGCGTTTCCAAGAGACCATTTTATTCGAATACCGTTTTTCAACAAAAAGCCGAACAATTTTTCAGCTGGGACGTATATTATATTCTTACAGCACCTAACAAATAAAACCGGCTAACTTCTAATAATTAAGCTGCGTAGAAAAACAAATTTAAATCGGTTTTAACAACGATGACGACGAGACTTGCGATATTTTATTGCACGGCGATAATAGTTTTATTTAAATTCACCAACGTATATAGTATTATACAAATACGTAAATATATAAACAAAAAAAACAACAATAACAACAACAACAACGACAACAGAATGCGCGTTCAGTGCGTTGTTTTAATGTTGACTGTAGATAAAACAGCCACGCTGCACACTGCGCCAGATAAGAAATAGTTGGTGGTTGGGGACATAAACATATTATACGGCTGCATAATATAATATAGCATAGAGTGTGTAATGACTCATACACACTAAATAAACAACAGTAGTGGTATAGTGGCGGTGAGGAGTAAAAACTGTTTATCTAATGGGTTTAGGTGTTTGTTTGTATTTGATTGGATTACAATATTATATCCGAGGGACTGACCCCCTAAACACATTAGGAAGGAAGGGTTATCTCTCTCGACCGCGCGTCGTTGTGGCGGACCCGTCGTCCCGTATCATTGTCAGAGTTCAACTTTTGAATTCGTAATTTATTATAAGTTAAGCTGCAGTACCATGCGTGTCCCCTTCCTAATGTGTTTTTGTTGCACGTCAATTAAACACGGGATTTTGGTCATAACGAGTTTTTTCTTTATGAGTATTCTATTGCCGAATTCCAACTTAAAACTATATACTTCGGTAAAATTAAAATTGTGTTAAAATGAATTAATTTATAAGATTGCCACCTTCCATACATAATAATCTATATAGGTGGGTATGTACTTACTATAGATATTTTTAATTGTTCTCAATCGAATACGTTAATAATCATCTTTCATTAAATATCGATTAGGTCATCAGTCATCTGATATTAAAAAAATTAATAAATAATCAAATAGGAATATTTCTTTTACGAATATATAACCTATACATGTTGATGTTATATGTTATGAGGATTGGTCAAAGAAAATGGGCGGCGGCATATTAAACAGACAAGAGAAAACGAGTTTATGGACAACGACTTTGAACAAGGCAGCCATTAAAACTAAAAAAGAAAATAACAAGTAATGAAATCGAACTCAGTGCACAACTTGGGATTACATACATGTAAACGTATAAAATATTAATATAAATATTACATTACGACCTTTATGAGAATGATTGACTATAATGAGTTTAACTTGTAAATAGGTATAGGTAGGTAGTGCAATCAATGCTGCGCACAATGACTAATGGGTAAGGTATAGTACTATAGTTAGATGTAATTTAAAATATTATAAGCTAGATAGTTCTCACTGAATTCGTAAACACATTGTTGAATAATAACGATTGTAAGTTATAAAGATATTTTATTATACAAACGCTATACTTACTATAATATATGTAATATAGTAAAATAATAATAATCATAATAATCTTAATCGTGGTTTAAAAGAATTTACTAAGGGGTTTAGCGACAAGAAACATAAGAAAAAAATCTCAACCCCTGAGGTCCATACTAAAAAATAAAATAATAGCGTTAAAAATTACTCGAAAGTCTTATAAACGGAATATTATTGTAATACATCAACGTTAATGTCGAGAGAGAATTAACCACAAAAATATGATGATAATGATGATGATGATGATGATGATGATGGTGGCGGTGCCTTCGAGATGAAACAAGTTAAAAAAACAACAACAACGAAAATAACAGAATGAGAGAGAGAGAGAGAGAGAGAATCTGGCCACCAACACTATATAATATGATTAAGGTCAAAAAATGCCTGCAGACCGACAACGACCCCGACTATAATGGAATATATTATAAACGTGCGACCAGCGAGTTTAATAATTTAATGTAAACCATCTATGGCTATAATAAAGATTAAAGAATGTATTATATATAGGTACGCTACATCATATATGGATATAAAATGAATCGATACATTTTTAATAACGGAATTGGCGACGATCGCTTAACATTTTCATAAAAAAATATGATTTCAACTTTGATCTTTGCAATGATTGCTTTTATTAAAATGTAAATACATCACACGACAGCTAGTAAAAAAAAATCATGAATACACTGACACGAATGTTACTCTAAAACATACAATGGTCTATGACAACGTTATACTAGTACTTCTATTTGAAAAAATAAAATAATACATCTGGTGAGCAACTGCAATTGCACAATATAGATAATAATGTTACCGTTAAGCCCGTTTAGATGCGAACAAAAATGACAATCGTTTAAAATGTAGGTAACGCTGTTTTATACTTTTCCGTTTTTCAGATTATAGAATGAGGAAACGTTTGATTTATAATGAACTTTTTTCTTCTGAATGTTCTATATCGGATAATAAAAATGCCCAAAATGCGTAATTTAGGGTATCTATGAATATGTTTTAAATTTATCGTAAATAATACTCAATATCAGAATAATGAACAATATTCATTAAATTTTGAGAGAAAAAAAATTCAAGGATGTACGGTAAATATAGTTGTAAATTATCATAGTCATAATTTATAATATTTGCATCATAATTAAAAATAAATTTAAGAGGAATTTTACTAGAAATGATTATCCTCTTATTTTAGAGCTGTGTTACATAGCCTATATGGCTATATACATATAAATAAATAGTGGTTGCATAATGCTATTACTTCTAAAATATTAATTAAGAAAACCCATGAGAACATCCACACTTCGAGTAAAATTACATCAGTTTTCTAATTAAATATGATAACAAATACTCTCTATATTATAGGGGCAAACCGAAAACATTGGCCTTACTCTATACAACTCTAACCGTGTGAAAAAATGTCCCCTTTTTCAAAAATAAATTTAATATAAGCCATGGCTGGGTTTATTTTATATTTTTTCTCCAACTTAAGATAACTACAATATTATTTGATATAGTATTATAGTTAACGCAAACCGAAACGAGAATAAGGGGGTGACCAGCGTTCGTTCATTTCCTGGCTGTCACCAGCACACCTCCATTTTACCAGTGGTCCGGTGCGCGTACTACACCTCCATTCCGCACACACAATCACCCTATTCCTACCCTTATTGAATGGTATAATATATATATATATTTATACGTATACTATAATTGAGACCTCCTCACTTTATGGGCTGTTTTTGATATCATCGTCGTCGTTGCCGTTGTCAGCCTGAAAACGGTACGCGCGCTCCAACCCACGTAGTAGCTGTCACATGCAGCAAGTATAAAGAGAAAATAAGTACAAATGAAAAAAAGTTCCGTCGGTTGCGGTTACAAGTACCGCTAATCGTATTTTCACTTCTTTCCAGCCCTTTACATATTATATACACGATACATATACATCTCAACAAATGGATATTTCTGTATACATTTATATGAGCTACGGTACATTCGACAATGGTCATTTTTGTTTTTCCGACGGCTGCGTGTAATAACAAAATCGACATTCACGCATTTGAAGTTTTTTTATTTATTATTGATATAGGTATCGCGTTCTTCATATTGTTATAATCGTCGATACATAGATATTTTATATTACCTACTATATACTATACAACAAACCATAAAAATAAAATTATTCTATTAAAAAAGCAACAAATTCTCGGGTCCAATAACGATCATAATTTTCACTGAATTTTCAAACTGTATATTATATAATGGTGTTTTTTTAGACGAGTGTTTCATGTTTCTCTAAGTTCATGTTCAAAGTTTCTACTTATATGTTGATTGGTCAATCAATCTCTTTCGGGATATATGATGCAACAACAGTAATTGGCTCCTTCGAGACCAGCTGGACCCCACTACCGCAAATAGTTATCCCTTAGGGGGATTATTATCATCGTTATTCTGTGTATCTCTTATATAGGCACCACCACCACAACCATCTTTACACCATTATTACGATACCTTATCCACTTTTAAATAAAAAATAATAATGTAACCCACACGTATTTTAAATAAACTTTTAAATATGATGGGTGAACCTGTTTATACAAAAATAAAACATTTCATGAAATACTACTTAAGTAACAACTTATGATAATCGAAATATACAAACTAACATACACTAGAAACATATTTTATCAATACTACTATTGTACGAAAGTCTGAAAACAAAAGTTACAAAAATAATGTAACTCCATCGTGACCAATATATAATTATATTGTTAGACAATAAACATTAAATATAAGGAACATGATGTGCCTATACATACCTATAATTATACATTTATCCGACGTATCGTGTTATAACAGTTCATTGTTTATTTATTACCTAGTTAATTGTATCAAAATATATAATATATATAATAGGTTTCATATTTCATTCCGAATGAAATGTAGACATCAGAAGATATTTTAATTGATATCGCGTATACACACGTGCCGCAGTTAGCAAATATTTTCAACAAAATGTATGCGGAGTAAAAATGGCAAGACGAACATTATATCGTCGCCGACAACCAAATAAAAAAAAATATATATAATATATATATACGCGAGAGAGAGATGGATGGCTGCCTGGTTGACTGCATCGCGGCGCACGGCGCTCGCGCGGTCCAGGTTTTCCATGGCAACGACTACGAACATTGGCAAACCGGGAAATGTTTCCACACTCATACCCACTCACCCCCTACTCGTCCGCCCCTTCCTTCTCTCCTTTACATCCTCTATTACCCCTGATACTCTTTGACAGGGGTTTTCCATTTTTTTTTTTTTTTTTTTTATTTAATAAAGGGCACAACAAACCTAAACGTACACGTCAAATGCTCATTTTAGTGGCGATCCTGCAGCAAACCCTTATTGACGGTCAGTAAATACCTCAACTCATGGCCAGTATATATATTTAAAAAAAACCGTCATTAATAGAGAAAAACAAGGGACACAATTTTCGTGACTTTGAATAAATTAACCAATATAATATATTATAACGCTGTTGTATATAAAAAAAACAGTTGCCTATTACATATTTTGAGATAAATGTAAATTATATTTATTTTATATGTACTTACACGAGTTGTAATCATTTGGGCTTCCGCCGAGGAACACAGATTGATACAGAAGACCGCGTTTCGCCGCTTCCGCAGCTGATGCCGCTCGGGCGTCTAGTGGTGGAGGCCAATCTCGCCTTTGACACCATTTACCTGAAAAATACGAACAATAATTAACATTGATTTTACGATAAATAGTACAAGCAACATTGTATATAATAATGAAATATATGTAGATATGCATTGAATATACCTAATAATAACGTTGAATTAATAGGTTAATAGGTACATGGTAATTTAAAAAAAAAAAAAACTAAATTTGTAATAATAATACAAAATATCACTTAATCTGACTAAATAATATTTTTAATAACCTTTATGTGTGTGTAACATATATTCGTATAGGTATGTATAAGTATATAGATGTGCTTGTGCCTGTGTGAAGAAAGAATTAAGTCGGACAAGACAACCTATAATTTTAAAACTGGTATTTTTAAACGCGTAAAACGTTGAAAAAAAATAATATCTGTCATGTCCATTTCGACTGTTACGAGCTGTCGTCCGAAGGGGTATTTATTTGTATTTATGGGAGGAGATTTCGAAAGCGATAATTACGAGTTTGGAAAAAAATCTATTAAAACCACTGCAATCGTATACATTATTTTATACTTACGGTGATAATAAAGAAAATAACATTTTTTATATACCTATATATATATTGCGCGCTCGCACTTGTGTGTGTACAGTATATGTATATATATGTTTCGGGGCCATAAAATATATATGTATATACATATGAAATTTCTATAATTATTTATTTGTTCCCAATCAATACCATCAATTATAATTACATATATATATACACATCTACAACAATATACATGATACTATTTGATACTATTCGTATTTAAGATACATTATAATAGTAATAGGTTACTGAGAGGCGAGTGGTTTAAGTCATCTCTGCATAAAATATTATATTGTATAGGGGTATCATCGATAAAACGCGTATCGAAAATCGATAATTATATATTAGCATGACATAAGACCTAAAAACGTTTGGTTTCCACGTCATTTTAATTGAAAAATATTTAAATCGAAACGATCGGCAAATACTTTTCAGAAAGAAAAAAAATCCGGTCACGTCATGACTTTGTATTGCCAGATGTCGTGTATTTCGTTGTACACTGAATACAAAATGTGCCATCACCCGTCATCAAATTTTATATGCACGTGCGTGAACAACACGCCGTTTATTATTCTACAACAAATAAGGCCAAATGTGTTTATTTTGTAATATTTTATCATAGATAGAGTATAGAACATGACTATACCTATATACTTTGTGTACGACGATGTCCGAAGAGATACGCCGGTACGTGCAATATTTCAAATCCACAATAAGAACAAAAAACAATTGACCTCCACATATTTTTTACATTGTATGTAGTGTTTCGTTCTCAAATACCTACCTAAAATTAAAATAATAACCTATTGGATTTGTGTTCACACAGCGAAAGAAGAAACTCGTATATAAACCATATAGGTAGCATGTAGTATATAATATGTACATTATATACTACATACATCATAGCTGTTATAACTTATAAGAATCGAATGGAATCGTACAACATTCCACGTGGAATAATTCACGTTCGGAAAAAACGTTCTAAGTAATATTGATTGAGAAAAATAATTCAACGGAAAATATTTAAATCATTATAAATAACGATGTAATTTAATATTTATCATTGTTATTATTATTACTTTTTGAACGTTTAAAGATTAACATTTTTCAAAAATAATATACGTCAAAATTCCCTCTAGGCAGTTACAACAACCTCCGCCGAGTCAACCGCACTTACATCTCCTCTCAGACTGCATGCAGGTAATCCTACTGCGCGGTGTCGACCTTCTATATATTTTAAAAAATATATTCCCATAAATCAATTTAGTATTTTTTGGATACAAAAAAATATGTATACATACGCATTATGTGCGGTTAAATTTTTACAGCGGGGCTCCGTCGATTTGAAACGAGTAAAATAATAATAATAATAATAATAACAAAAACGCTCCAAGCCGTCAGTCGACTAAAGAAAGTGTGTGTATGTGTGTGCGTTTGTGTACAGTATATTATGTGTATATAATATAGTCGGATGATATAGAAGTATTAAAATAATTTTAATAATAATATTATTGTTATCATTATCGTTACTATTATTATTATTATTATCATTATTATATTATTATTATTATATCCCAATGGTACTGTAATGCGCGCACGTTACAATGATTGACAGGTGTTTTATTTTTCCGAGAGAGGAACGAAGAGAAAGACGTACGCGATACGTCCATGCGTCTCTCACACGCCAATCCAGGCACAGAGTACGGAGTCAAGAGGTCAAACTCATACTACCGGCTCGAGGAGGCGATGAGGAGTGGAATAAGTTCTGACAACGTGCACACGCGAAATAGACGCCCTCGTGACGACCATGATCACGACGACGGAGACGACTATACGCGGTGATGATGATGTTGATCATTATAAAGATGACGGTGTAGTAAAGTTACGGGGCCGGAGCCGGCGCGCGGTGGTAATAAAAATAATAATGATAATAATAATAATATAAGAAGAAGAAACGAAAATAATAATAATAATACGAACTAAAATTCATTTTCTAAAACGAGTTCTATTATTTCTACACGCGACGCATTACATATTATATTATAGTACGGTCGAAGTGTATATAATACGTACAAAGTATATAATATGGCCCTGCAGTCTGCGTACACGATGATAATCCTACATGTCAACAGTGTGTGTTCGAAGAGTGCGGAGACCTCGACAAGACTAAGCAACGCTAACAAACTTCACAAACTTATCGGACACCCTGTATAATGTAAATCGTAAATGTAATATAATATGTGTGTACAATATAATATACGTTTAAAAAACAGTACATGTATAATATATTTTAATGTTTTCATTAAGAAGAATAGAGAACGCGACTGGTCACGAATTTTGGACATTTGAAAACTGTACTTGGCTATCGTCGTCGTCTCTTCGTAGGTACGATCCTCATAATACATATTTATTTTTTTTTGTTTGTCTGCATTCATAATATATTCTCCGTACAAAACGCTTAAGGTATACACACAATAAATTGTTATTCACAATATATTATCTAGTATAATAATATGATGACGCAATGAAACAAAACTAGCGCGCGCGCGCGGTATACAAGTCGCCAATTACGAGACGAAAGGCGATTTTTCGATTTTTCTTTTCTTGTGCAACCAACAAAAGAGATAAGATGCAAGATAAAATAAAAATAAAAGATGGAAGGCAAGAAAAACACGACCGCGGCATATTATATATATGGCAAGAAAAACTGTCTCCATTCTCTTTTGCGTACATATGATATGTGTATAGCTGCAGAGTAGGTATATAGACTCCTTTAAAAATTACCATACAATAATCGCCGCCGCTGTCGTTGTCGTCGTAAACAGACTTTAACGAATAACATTATCTCACACACGGCGATAATTACAACGCTATATATTATTATAGGACGCGCCTATATATAGTACATAGGTACCTATTATATTGTTCGCACGAGTGACACACTATACGCGGCTATCGTGTACCTATATGATGTGTTTACGTATAATTATTAATAATATAAAAAATGTTAGGTATATAGAAGCCTTACAAGCGTTGTATACACGCACCGCGTTTTCTTTTTACGTATTATATGCAAATATATTATGCATCGGCGACTCGTTAATATACTACATAATATATGTGTGTACTTTTAATTCGTAACGGCGCAAGCGATAAGTTTAACTTTTGTTTGATAAACATATATTTTGTGTATTCGAAAAATCAATATTAAGTTCGAACCCGACGGCAAATTTGTCAATTATAATATTTTATATCCGGAACTGCACCGTCTCTGCTGCACCACGCCGGTAATATATATATATAAAGACGTGACACGTTATTATATTAATATATTATATGTCTTTTTGTTCACAGTAGTATTATCAATGTGAAAATATTATTATTATATATATAATATTATCATCATTCATCGTTTTCGTTCCACACAATTTCTTCCTAATTCTCACTACGGCCTACCGACAATAATCATAATATATCCGGTTTGTAAACTTATATTATTACTTACAAATATATCTTTGTTCGATTAGTATCTACATTTAATACATAGGTCGTGGTATATATACCCTTCTATATATTATGGGCATGTATACTCGTATTATATACGAGATTCGGCCAAAGCGTTACTACAACACCAACACCGCGGATAACCACCGTCGCTGCCGAGTTAAATGAGCCATCACAGCAGTCTTTATACATTTATATACGAGTTTTCTTTAATTCTATAAAGAAATAAAAATAATTCGTCCGTGGTGGTAATCATGGGAATTATGTGTGTGTGTGTGTGTGTGTGTGTGTGTCATTTTTATTGTGTCCGTTGCCGGAAGACACCCACCTATTTACTATACAGCCACGACGACGACGATGATTTTCTCTATAGTTTTTCTCATCGTGTCGTGTCCTGTATTGTCGTGGTAGAATAATCGCTGGTATACACACACTTTAACAGCTTCCGGCGTTTTTAATACAATTTTTTCTTCCTGTTATGGTCGCGGTCGAGGTGGGGTTACATAGTAATGCGTGTATATATCACGTCGAAGACGATGCAAAAATAAATTTACGATAAAAACGGCTTGTACTTCAGCAGTCAGTCCTCGTAGAAAAATATCAATATTAACGTTAGACGATGGTGGGATTTGCAAAAATTTAACAAACATAACTTTTCTCGGGTACCTATATTATTATTATATGCGTATAAACTCTCGAGGAAACCTTATGTTATAAAGAGTTTCATATTACTGCAATAACGCGATTTTTTATAAGGTTTTTCATTAAACTTGACCGTTACTCTCATGGTTTAAACAAACGTAACATATGTAATCTATTTAGAGGAAAGTTATTACTCGTCTAAGAAAACGTAGGAACAGCCAATGTTTTGAATCTTAATTTTTTTACGGTTACCTCTGAGACTATAATATTATATAAAAATTAAATGATGTTCTTAATTCTTTCATTTTGTTGTATATATATATACTTGTGTTTTTATTTTATTAATTCATAAAACTTTATGGGAAAAGATATAATTTCATGCTATAAATAAAAATATTTTTAATAAACTGTCAAGAAAGATAAGAAAATGAAGGTTTAATCTCAAAATGTAGTCCCTGTATAAAACTGAAACTGAAGTACTTTGTTTGGCCTATACTGACGTTAATAAGGGATATTAATGTTTCTTGTTTTTGCCGCAGCTGAGAATCCACTAACACGATCTCACAAATTCAATTACAGTTGATGGATTTTTGTTGTAGAACGTATATATATTATTAATAGAAAAATATAACCCCCAACTAAAAGTAAATGTATTTGAAAACAATAGACAAGAAATGAATCAATTAGGTACCGCACGAGAAAAAAAAAACTATATAAGACAATAATTGAAGAAACAATCATTCGAACCAGAAAATATATGTATATCACTAGGTAAATGGTGATTCTATAGAACATGTATTGTTACATTTCCGTGATATCGTAATATTATAATATCATGAAGTATTTCATAAAACTCGACGATTTTCCAATTACGAAGAAATCGTCTGAATTAATTTACGAAAGGTTAACCACCAAAATTGACAATAAAAACAGTAATAAGAAAAATTATATTATCATAATTGGAATGGTTAACAAAGCGATGATGATCGTTGCGTGATCGCGAGGTGTACAATTGCTCGGTCAGTTGTATCGTATCCTGTAATTACGTGCGTCTCCTCATCATAATGCCGTAATGACATTAATCTTTTGACATGACGACTGCCTGGATAGACGGAAACACAGAGCAAAGCGACCAACTCCCTGTTGACGGCAGCGATTCGACAAAAATACGTCACGCCATTTATTACGTAGGCGGTGATTGTGAAACCACCAATTACCATTACATGCGGTGATAATAGGTATGTATAGTAATGGCATAATAACTGTAATTGTTTATTTTACAATCGTAATTTTAGGGTACAATGAAATGTGTCGTCGAAAAAAAAGGCTCGCTGGTAAGCTTGCGGCGTCTCCGCCCTCTATAACCACGTTAGATGTATATTGAATTGACATTATACCATTCCCCACCCCCACCCCGAGCTGAAAAAATTGCCACAGTATTGTAGAACAAGTCCAGTACATTTAATTTATTGTACAATGCATTTTGTTTATTGAAAACTGAAAACGAATCTATAAACATATATTTATGATGATGAGGTTTTTTGCATTCGGGGATTATCGAAGTAATACAGAAGAGAGAAAATATAAGGATTCTCCACCAGTTCGTTAACATAATGTACACATTATTATAATAACGGAAGTAAAATCAATTCGTGATTGTGCTACGTCGCCGCACCGCTGTGCGAGCAGCGTGCGTATATCGCAATTAAGACCAATCGTTTTATAATCAAATATTAATTAAGAAAAAAATCATTGTCAATAAAACCGAAACCGATCGTGATAGTAATTGAAATAGCCGTTTGCTAATGTTAACACAGTGACTCGGGACGTGTCGTCGTTTCTGTCCATCAAGGGTCCCCCCGCTCGTATAAATAATAATTATTATTTATTATTAGTAATAATATTGTGCTGTATAATAATAATAATATGCGGAGCACATCGTCGACAAGCGATCTCACGAGTTTTTCCACTTGTAAACAATACCGTGTGGACGTCGTGATATTATTATATTGTTACCCAATGGTTTTTGTCACGCGACTTGGTCACACGAAAAAAAAAGTCGATACTATTTTCAAAAATCCCGAATAATGTTATATTACATTACCTTTGTTCCTTTTGAACAAACATTTTGCTTATTATACTATATTGGTTCAATACATCGCGTGTGCGTACCCATATATTTTTATAGGTGTTGTACAATATTTTTATTGAGTTAACTAGCCGCAGTATAGGTATATTGGTGAGAGACTATATTATATTATGCCGCTACTGTTGGTGTTACGAGAAAAAAAATATACGGAATAAGATGGTATCAACGCCTAATAATTATGATTATAATATATTCATTTCAAAATTAATTAAAATTTAATTATCGACAGTGAGTATCATGTAAAAATATGATGATTAAGCAGCGACGATGCGTTATTTTTCCGGTTATAGTGGGCGTGTTCTCTCGATAATGTTTTTACCAGCGTGGTTTTTAATATTGTTGGTGAAAAAAGAACTGCTAGGATGCGTCCGCTTTTTTAATGTTACGTTTTATAATTGATTCGTCGTATATATACCACATAATATATGAAAATAATACGAATTAAAATAATCAATGTTTTATATTAAATATTCAAAAGAATATGGGCATTTCTTTTAAAAAAATATTCGGATAGCATATACATAAGATTATTATTAAAATATAACGTAACCGATTGGAAGTATGAAGAAAAAACAGGAACGTAATCGTTATTATTTTTAGTATACTGAATAATAATGAAGAATTTTTCGTTGCATTACCTTACGCTTACTCAAACGCGCATTTTTTATAAGACAAAATAAAAAAGAAGCGAGAAACGAATAACAAACTCGCGGCCCACATTCGTTCAGACAACGAGGACGTAGAAATATTTCACCTCAATAAGTTTTTTTTTTACTTTTTATTATTTGCCGCGTGTAGACTTTAATTTCAGCTCACGACAATCCCCTTGCCCCGGGGAAATATAATGGTATACATAATATAGACTACTACCACGTAAATGGGTCTTTTTTTTCTTTCCATCATCCCTTCTCTAACGTCTTCACACACACAAACACAATATGATTGCACATCGCATGCATACATATATATATTATATATATATATACACACACATAAACAATATACATATAAAACACGTATACACTATATACATAATATAATATATATATATATAAGACTACGGCGCAACGGCGGTCACGAAAACATATAATTCGATAAGTGAAAATATCGACTGGCCCCTGCTCTACTACCACTACTGACACCGCTGCCCCGGCAAAAGCACTTAGAAAAAGAACAATGAAAAAACATAATCCAATCCATTCGCTTAATAAATTAAAGGGCGCTGACGGTGTTTTTTTATACTTCTAAAAGCCTATACAACGTCGTTTTGGGCGTAATTCGTTTGGATCCATTAATATTATTGTATTCTCTATAAATATATTATACACATAAATATAACGTTATAAGTAAAATCTAAGACACGAAGTTGAATTCGTCTTACGAATGACAGTACTAATGATTTAAAACAAACATAACTTAAAAAATGAATGATGTAGACTTTAACCAATGAGTCGAATTTACGCCAGAAATATTAAATGATAATATACTATTATATACATAATATATTTTTATATACACATAATATGGTAATAATACTTATGTAGGTATATTTTTTCAATATAATGTATAAGGTCGAGAATATATATTTAAAGTGTGGGTAGGTACGTCGTAATACGTTTAGGCGCATCGAATCAAGTAAGTCATAAAAAAAAATTACAAACGATTTAAAAACGTCAATTCGTCGAGATAAATAAGCTATAAAAACAGATTGGTCAATAACGATAAACAACAAATACTGTACAGAAAGAAAGTTGCACGCGTATATGACGAGTATTGCAATCAATTTAAGGGCGTGCGAGCAATCCCGCTGCAGAAAAAAAAATAAAATGAAATAAACCAAAAAGGGGGACTGCCGCACAAGTTGATTGACTTAAACGCAGCTTTGTTCTTTTAACCACGGAACACACAGCGTGTAGTCACACAACGCGGAAAACCACACATTACGTGTATATATACCTTTACGGATAGTACACGCGAAGGTATACAAAATGAATGCATGTGGATTTTTTTTAGTATTTTATTCAGCAGGCGAGGTAAAGAAAAAAAAATGCAAAACCGTACTGTTTACGAGAGGAGGAGGAAACGTGACTTGAACAGTCAAGACGGATTTAATGGAACTTTTCCATTGCGCCGTCGACGATAAGACCCCTGGATATATTATTGGTACAATATATATATATATGATGACGATGATGGTGCGCGCGTGCAACGGAAGACCCGAGGAGCAAATATTCATTTTCGATCGAAAAAGAAATCCCAGGTGTCGTATTATATTATTATAATGTAGATCATGGTGTAATAAAAACACGGTCAGCTATTTTTTGAAGTGTCGGACATACGGAGAAGAAAAGTGCGTCGTTTACTTACCGCGGAATGCATTATCACTGTAAAAGAGTTTGCCGACTTTACTTGTACACTTACCCAATTCTGAAAAAAAAAAAAAGAAAATCTCATTAATACATTTGTTTTGGATATATAGCTATGCGGTTCATAATCATTAATAAATTATTCGAAAGTAATCAATTTTAATTAAAAAAAAAAAAATAATAAAAATTGGTAATCATTTTCGTTTTTTTTCCTCTAAAGTAGCACCAGCAGTAGGTATATATACATATTATTATTATGAGGTCTACAACACTATATGTACAGCGTAAGTAGTTGAAATGTAGGCGTGGTTATGGCCATGACGTAAGATAACAATCGCACTTGTTTCCACCATAGGACCACCGCGTTTTGTTCTATGTCTATATAATGATGGGCGTTGTTGTTTAACGCTATAGGTATAACATAATTATTACCGTTATATTATTGTATATATAGCCGATATTCGAATGCGTTTGTGTTGCCGGTCGCACTATACGCAAATCGTCAACGCGTACGGCGGCAATACGGGCAGTATGGGCACAAAAGCACACAACGACGACAACAACCACAATCGAAACTCGAATCACAATATGTAAGTACTTGATTAGGCTAAAACGAGTGCGTATATATATATATAATTAAGAACTTGAGATCCACGTACATACTTGTGCGTGTGTATTTCGGAAGAAATGTAACAACAATTTGACCCTTGCACCGCGTCCGACACGGTTATATATCGTGCTGCGAGAAGAGCGCCTGTCAACGTCGGAATATCGACATGCCAGCACCGCCGCCCCGGCCGTTTCCATTGACCGTTTCGCCGCAGCGTGGCGTATTAGGAGGAGACTCTCAGTCGAAAAGGTCAAAAAAAAAAAAAACCCAAGGAAAAATGTATACGTGGCGACTCAATAACGTACAGTCGACGGCTAAAGGAATGTTGTCAGATCCAGATGTTATTTCAGTTAACGTACATAGAGCACTGTGCTGTGCCGTGCTGCTACAGTATCCCGCCGCGTTTTCTAAATCCCATAGGTTATACTTTCGTTTTCTCGATGTTGTATGTTTCCTCTTCTCTTCTTCTTGTATTCTCTTTCCAGCGATGAGTTGATGGGTCATGTAGATAACGTTTGGTTTAACAATTATTATCATCATCCCATCGACTGTTGTACGACTATATACACACACTCACGCATAAACATATATATATATGTATCGTATAACGTATATATTATTTAATATACATAAGAGGAATGCAACAACGTTCGAGTCAGTTCAAAAAGAATTTCTCCCACATTTTACAAAACAAACCAAGTAAAATAATAAACTAAACGAAAATATATGTTTTGTCTCTTACACGGAATGAAGAAATTGTGGAATAACAAAGACAACGGGACCTCTCAATAAAAATCGTTCTCCTATATATAGAAAACCAAGTTCTGCATACTCGTCCGACACCTTATAATAAAGCTAATGCGTGTGTGTGTGTATAATATTTGTAAAACCAGTTTACAAGTCTCATGTTCGTTGTCGTCGTCGTCGTCGTCGTCTCTTATATATACGCTCACATTTACATTCAACTGTTTGCATATTATATATTATATATATGTATGTGAGTGTGCGTATAAATGTATATAGTTGCGGTTTTTTCTCTCTGCTTCTCCACCGTTTTTTTAAGCAGATAAACGTGCGTGTGTAATGTGTATATGTAGGTATATTTTATTTTACGGTGCACATATTGTATGTTATACTATATTATATTATGATAGTACAGTCTCAAACATATTGTCTTCTGTTTGTGAGTTTTTGGAAAATGCCACCTGTCATTCGTGTACCCATGTATTATGATAGTCATTGGTGTTATGCAGAAAATATGCCAAATTCCTAAATCTAATAATATTGTAATATACAAAATGTTCAATATAGGAACTTACAAAAAAAAAAATGCTAACAACCGTTACATCCACTATACAAATTATATTACTTTCTATCTCACTCCACCCCCTCTTACACACACATACTCTACATATTATCATGTATTTATTTATACGTAGTTATATATATATAAATAAATAAAATTATGGGAGAGGACACGGAAAACTAAAAACATTGTACAGCGAACGCGATTATTCGGCGCGGGCTATCCCTCCACTGTACAACCGGTTATGCGATATAATTTATTTCAAAAAATTAATTCGTTTCGTTTTTTTTTATACTTCTTACCCATGTATATATATTTTTTCCCTGTTCATTCCATTTGATATTATGTTTTTAAAACGTCGTTCCCCAGACGTCTACGAAACGACAGGTGTTCCCTCCTAATACACACACACACACACACACACATACGCGCGGGCGCTCACACACAGACACGCTCACTCACTCACTCACTCACCCAAACATACTCTCTCACGCACACACACACACATGCATACGTACATACTGCATACATACATACAACACACGTCAACAGACACAATGGGTCTCGCGTATAGTAGTTATGTTAATGTGTGTCCAATGATAAATCGGATTTTAATATATTCCTGGATTTGCTGTTGTTCAAGAATGTCAAACGAACGCCCGTTGGTTCCCATAGGATATTTTTATTTAAACTCAAAATTAAAAGTATTATTTACTAAACTCGATATTATAATATGACTTATATTAAGTATAAACTCACAGTCGCACTGCCACGACGACAATGTCAAAAAATTGATTGAATTCACATTCCATGTTAATAATTATAGTTTATAAATCTTTTCAAACTAATATATTATTCATCTGAGATATGTATATAAATGTACTTACTACCGATATAACTTAAAATACGAATACGCACCAATAAAAATAGTGTTGTTATTATTATTATGAGATGCGGTAATATAAGTATTTACCATGTCCTACTTACAAACACACGTGGTCAATTTATTAGTCCTTACAACATAATGACCCCGGGTTTATGGTAAAATAAATAAAAGTCAAGGTCGCGGCAACAGTGTAAAACTATTATGACTTACAGAACACCGACGAATCAAACGAATAACTTTTAGTATTTTTTAGTTTTTTACTCATTTATATTGATTATATTATATATACGGTCTAGGAGCACGTTAGTTAATTATTATTCTTGAAATGTTATACTCTTCGGTTTCGCGTATAGAAATATAAGATAATATATAAGCCGCTATATCATATTCCAGCATCTCATAATACCCGGCACGAGGCTCGATTTTTTTAATTTAAATGTACTATAGATCATTGCAGCCGTCCGTATTTAATGATAATAAAAATAAAGAAAATCGTCGTCTATAATTATCATATAATATATTACAAACAGCTATAGTGCGTATATAAAAAGTAAAATGTCTTTTTATTTTCCAACCATATATATAATATAATGTTATATTTTTTTTCACATATAATTTTTTATTATTTTTATCGTCATTATTATTGATATAAATATAATAATACGCAAGATTTTTAATATTCTACGGTTTAACGCGGTTTTCCTCCGAAGAATGCATGAAATGACCATCATGTGTGTAACATTGTATACGTACCACACGTTATAATATATATATACCTACAGTATAATATAATATTCTGTACCTCTATACATATGTATATACACACGTATACACATCATCATCATGTACACGATTTTTTTTTCTATTATCTAGGACTTTTTTTCATTCTTATTATTATGATTCCTGTTTTTTTTTTTTATAGAAATTTAACAGCTATTTTTTTTATTTATTTTTTATTATTATTTTTTGCTCATTGCTTTCCCTCATATGTGTGCGTGCGCGCCCGAACGCGTGAGGATATCTAAAGACGAAACTGGCGCGATTGCGTTTTTATGTGGACTACGAACCAAACCTGTCGCGTAACGAATTATTATTATACTTTAAATATATATATATGTATATATTCAATATACACATGTACACATTATAATAGTTTCTATATCATAAACGCGTATAACACGTTGTTGTTAACGTCGTTATCAATTTTATTATTTTTGCAAAAATATTTCCCGTTTTTTATAAACGACGAGTATTATATATATTTTAAATCAACAATATACATATTCTTATTTTCTCCGTTTTCCACTTACTACGCGCGTGGACTTATTTTGAATAATGGTCATACAGTAGGGCGTACTATATTATATAGATACTATCCATATTATAATAAATTTCCATCTCATACTACAATTTCGTCCAATTGACGGATGGAAAAATCGAATTTCATTATAATAGGTCGTTATAATCTATGGATTACTTTTAAAAAGTGTAAGAATTAGAACTACAGCTGTTCGAAACAGATGGATTTACTATAGAGTTCATATTTTCATAAATATTACGAGAAAACAGTCTTATAAAAGACCAAAATAATTTGGCAATTGTGGTAATATAATAATTAATACTATACCGAATATTAAAAATACAATCATGTAGATAATTGCATTCAATGTTAACTACTTTGACAGATATATTGTACAACGACCACCGCCTGAAAAACGAATAATATTTATCGGTTTACCCTAACTTCATTTAACGACTAAGCGCGGCGACAGCATTTAACATGTAATGCAATGCAATGGTAGTTTTAATAAAAATAAACACCGCGGTGAAGGGGAAGATGGCATTACAACCGTTTACTATTGTGTATATTATATAGTCCCGAAATTCGTGTTGTTGATGGCGACCACGATTATGCAAATTCTATACTCGAAAAGAATGAAAGGAAATAATACAGCTGTAATGTACTACGCAGGCAGCGCGCACAACGCGTACATAATAATATTATAATATAATATAAAGGGAGAGCGAAAAAATTGATATCGCCCGATTCCGGGTAATAAAGATTCGTATACATATCATTTTAATATTATATGTGTTTAAGCGTAAACAGATTTTGTTTGGTACAGTCCAGAGAAAATAGTATATTATAATGATTATTGATTACCGACCACAAGAGAACACTCGGTTCGAGATAAAATTGAATATTATGTTATGTTATAATAATATACATTATAGCGTATAATTCCGCATGCAAATGTC